TCATAAAGCGATAAATGTAAACTCTTAGATTCCAGGTTCTTTTCCAAACCACATTCATCCAACTCAAACAGGATTCACCACACGACCATCACTAAGGATAAGACAGGCTTCCTCCTTGATAGCTGCTGGCTATCCCAGCATTCTCTAACTTCACGCAAATCATCAGACACAGTCTACACATTACCGAGTTACAATGCAAAAACAGTCAGTCTCAGGTGAACCTAGAGGAAGATTTGAAAGTTCCCTAATCTTATGCACGATCAAATCCCACCATCATTCTACTATTAACTTGATATTAGATAAGTCAATTCGCCTATTTCAGATAACCAAACTTAAAAAAAAAAGCAAAAAACTTGTTGTATAAGACCAAAAATAAATAAATAAACAAATAAAAACCAATACAACCTATCCTAGGAATGAAAGGTTGGCTTAACATCTGAAAATCAATTCATGTAATATATCTTATTAATAAAAAAAAATGGACAAAGGAACACTATAATCTTCATAAATGCAGAAGAGGCATTGGACAAAATCCTCCGCTTTTTCTTTATAAAAACACTCAGCAAACTACTGATAGAAGGGAACTTCCTCAAACTAGAATCCAGAAACGGAATCCAGGAAAAACCCACAGTTAACATCACACCTAATGGTGAAAGACTAAATGCTTTCCACCTAAGAACAGGAACAAGACAAGGGTGCCCACTTCATCACTCCCATTCAGCCTTGTACTGGATATTTTAGCCTGGGCAACTAGTCAAGGAAAAGAAATAAAAGGCATCCAGATTAGAAAGGTAGAAGTAAAACTATCTCTATTTGCAAATGAGAAGATTTTACATAGGAAAAATCCTAAAGAACCCCCTAAAAACTATTAGAAGTAAAAAGTGAGTTCAGGAGGGTGAAAGATACAAAATTGATATACAGAAACCAACTGTATTTTATACATTTGTAATAAACAACCTGAAAATGAAATCTAGGGAACAATTCCATTTCAAATAGCATCAAAAGGAATAAAATACTTCGAAATAAACTTAACAAAGGAAGTGCAAATTTTATGCTCTGAAAACTACAAAATATTGTTGAAAGAAATTAAAGAAGACTTGAAGGAATGGAAAGACATCCATGTTCGTGGATCATATGGCAATAGCTCCCAAGTTATCTTTAGATTCAATGCAATCCTTGTCATAATCTCAATTGACTTTTTGCAGGAAGGTGATATTAAAATTCATATGAAAAATGCAAGGGACTCAGAAGAGCAAAACAATTTTGACAAAGAACGAAGTTAGAGGACTCATACTTCCCAACTCTGTAACTTACTACAAAGTAGTATTCAAGACAGATTTTACTGGAATAGGATAAACATAAAGATTAGTGGAGTGGAAAAGAATTAAAAAGTAAATCCCTACATTAATGATCCATTGATTTTCAATAAGAGTGTGACATCAATTCAGTGGGGCAAATAATAGCCTTTTGAATAAATGGCACTGGAACAATTGAATATCCTCATGCGAAAGAATGAAGTTGAATCCCTAACACCATACACAAATATAGATCATAGACCTAAATGTAAACACTAAACTGTTACTGAACTCAGGTTCAGCTGCTTGTGGCTCTTAAGCCAATAATCGAGAAAGGGTTTGATGGAAGGAACAGGTTTATTCAAGAGTTGGCACCCTGAGAAGACGGTGGGCTGCTGTCACAAAGGCAATCTTGCTGCTTTGGTGCAAGCAGGGGTGATTATAGGGAGAGGGCTGAGTAAGGAACAAGGGAGAAATTCCAAAGCCCAGGCAGAGGGCTGCATCCGGGAGGGGAGAAGGCGGCCAAGGCCATCTATTATGTCTTCTTGGCCTTGGCTAGTTTCTCAGGCAACCTGGAAGGGAGGCAGGAGGAACAAAAGGATTAACAAGGAGGTGGTGAGGCGCTCCTCTTTTCCTTGCAAGTCATCCTGCTCTGATAAACAACCTGGAGCTGGTCAAGCGGAAGTATGGGGAGGATTTGTTCAATGTCAGCCCATCTTTTGACACCAAACAGTCTGGGAACCAAGCCAGCTTTCTTTGAAGTCTGTTTCCAGAGTTCTCAATCAAGTGAACTGTTCATCTACAAGGTACACATTAGTTACGAGGCATTTCTATGTACATAAAAAAAGAGACAGATTTTAAGGACAAAAAAAAGGAAAAAAATTTATTGCAATCATAAGACTACAACAAAATAACAACAATCACAGTTACAACCTCCACTGTCATTGCCTCATTTCCATTTCTATGATCTACCTGTAATGGACTCGTGGGACAATAATTTATAACTTGCAATAAGATATGGTGTTTAGTTCCTCTAGGTGGAGGAAGAATTCTAAGAAGTGTTAGCTTTCTAGCTGTCAAGGCCTGTCTATATAATTTAGTTATACTTACAATTATTTTGAACATTCCATAAGAGACTAATACTAACACGAATACAGTTAAGCTTAACTTTACAATTCCTCCTAGGACAGGTTTTATTCTCCATGGTATCCAAGAAAATAAACCAGAAAACTAATCTCCCATATCTTGGAATGAGGGAATAGGTATACAAGGTGGAAGGGTAAGGGCAGAAAAAGCAAGTGAGTCACAATGCTACTATATTAGTCAAAGCCTGTTTGAATCAGAGGAAAGAAGTCATATTAAAGAAATGAAGTTTGTGTGCAGTTAGTGTGAGGTTACAAAACTATAAAACTCTTAGACGAACACATAGGAGTAAATTTTTGTGGCCTTGGTTTAGGTAATAGTTAAAGCGACAAAAGAAAAAGCAGATTAATTACACTTCATCAAAATTAAAAAGTTTTGAACTGCAAAGAAAACCATCAAGAAAATGAAAAGATAATCCCTAGGAGAAAATATTTGCAAATCATATGTTGAAAAGGGACCTGAATGTAGATTAGACTATATTAACAACTCTAGCAACTCGATAATCATAAGATAACCCAGTTACAAAATGGGCAAAGGATCTGAAGAGAGTTTTCCAAAGAAGATATACAAATGGCTAATAAACACATGAAATGATACTCAACATCATTAGCCATCAGGAAATTGCACATTAAAACCATAATGATACCACTACTTCACACACAGTAGGATGGCTATAAACAAAGAGACGGATAATGACAAGTGTTGGCGGATGTGAAGAAATCTGAACTCTTATACACCTTTAGAGGCAATGTGAAATGGTGCAGTCACTTTGGAAAAGTTTTCAGTTCCTCAAAACAGAGCTACCATATTAACCCAGCAAATCCATTCCTAGGTATAAACCCAAGAGAAATGAAAACATATGCCCACAGGAAAACTTGTAAATAAATGTTCATGGCAGCATTATTCACAATAGCCAAGAAGAAATAGCCCAAATGTTCATCAATGGATGAATGGGTAAATAAAATGTGGTAATACCCATAGAATGAAATATTACTTGGCAATAAAAAGCAATGAAGCACTGAGACATGCTACAACATGAATAAATCTTTAAAACATCATACTAAATGAAAGAGTCCAGTCACTAAAGACTACATATTGTGTAAAAAATAATATAAACGGTGCTACTTTAAATGGAGTCAGAGCTGCCAATTTTACTGAACTGAAAATTAAAAGCATTCTTTAGAATCATCATCATTAGCTTACCCGGCAACCTAGAGAAATTCCTTCCCTAGCTTACTAACAACCATAGAAATTCCTTCCTTCTATAAACGTAATTATTCCCCTTCCCTTTCTCATAAATGCCCCTTGCCTTCACCTCCTAATCAAAATTTATCTAGGTTTATGCCTGAATCAGTGCTTCCAGAACAGCTATTCTTTGGATCTCAAATAAATGCTTATTGCCTGTCACAGTGGCCTTTTATTTTTAGGTTAACACTTGTACGATTCCATTTAAATAAAAAGCCCAGAACAGGCAAATCTATAGAGACAGAAAGTTGGTTGGTGATTGCCTAGGGCTGAGGCAGGAAGGAATGAGAAGTGACTGCTGATGGTATTTTTTTTTTTAATTTCTAAATTTTCAATTGTGGTAATAAAAAAAAAAAATCACATAATCTAAAATTTATCACTGTAACCATTTTAAATGCACAGTTTAGTAATGTTAAGTATATTTACACTGTTATGAAATTGATCTCCAGAACTTTTTCATCTGGCAAAACTGAAACACTACCCGTTAAACAACTTCCCATTTCCTCCCATCCCTCCAGCCCCTGCTATTCTACTTTCTGTCTCTATGAACTGTAGTACTCTAGGTCCCTTATATAAACATAATCATACAGTATTTGTCTTTTTGTGTCTGGTTTACTTCACTTAGTAGAACATCCATATTACATCATGTGACAGGATTTCTTGCCTTCTTACGGCTGAATAATATTAATATTCCATTGTATGTATATAGCCCACATTCTGTTTATCCATTCATCTGCGGATGGACATTTGAGTCGTTTCTGCCTCTTGGCCATTGTGAATTAGTGCTGCTATGAACATGGGTGTGCAAATACCTCTTCAAGACCCTGCTTTCAGTTCTTTTGGACACAGACCCACAGTGGGATTGCTGGATCATGGGGCATCGCTTTAGGGTGACAAAATTTTTCTAAAATTTGATAGTGGTGATAGATATATAACCCTGTAATATATCAAAACTCACTGAATTGTACATTTCAAAAGGAGGCATTTTATGATATATGAATTATATCTCTATAAACTTGTTAAAAAATACAACTCTTAAAGGCTGAATTAAGGATGTAGTTACTTAAGGATTTTGATTGAACTGGATAATTAATCCAGTTAAATAACCTGTCAATCTTGTCATACAAGTAATTCTGACTCTTATTTTCAATGACCTGGCTAAATGTTTAGATGTTTTTAAGATACAACCAAGTGCTTCTTCACCAATGATCAGTAGAGAAAGTTGAAAAAAAAAAACTGTCAGTATATCTTTAATTCACAATATTAAACCTTTTCATATTTTGTGCCAGAAAATACTGTGAAGAAATAACAAATTCATACTAACTATTGCAATTTTTATTTCATCTGCTCTGTATACATGCCATTCACCAAATTTTTTAAAGATAGGGAAAAAAGGGAGGACTTTACTCACTTTGACTTCAGATTCAGTTTTTGAAAATGACAGAGGGCTTATTTGCCTTTTTTGTCAATGAAAATGATAAAGAGTCTTACGTCCAATGTCACTGAATGGGGGGAAGAGGTAATAAGTTATAAAAAAAAAAAAGAGAGAGAGAAAGATTTTGAGAAAAGAAAATGTGAATCAAATTCAGATTCTTCTCATCTTTAATTGTCATATACAACTAGAAAAGCTAACGGCAATCCAGATGGCCACTGATAGAAATTTATTTAATCATCATCTTTTCTGCTTCATCTAGAAATTTTCAATTGTCAAGACTCAAAGATACAGTTTTAGAAAGATGATAAGTGAGATAATCTCAAAGATTTCTCATGATCTCTTCTGATCAGAGCAGAGCAAAGTAAGAGAAACCTTATTGGTCTGAGTGATCATTTTTAAAATAATAGACTCCATTATGGTTCACAGCAAAAAGACAAGTTTAGAAGTCAATTTTCCATTTTGGTCCCAAGGTGGAGACTGAAACGATGGTCCCCATTTAATTACAGAAAAAGGTGTTATGTGGGGCAGTCTTTCTTTCACGATTATGCATCTTAAACACTTTGACGGCTTTTCCTATATAATCTCTCAGGGCTCATTTTAAGTGAAGGCTGATTTTAGATTCTTAACGCGCATTTTTCAAAGTCCGTCTGTGCGCAGAAGCAAAATTATGAATGGCGGCTCGAAGAGTTGAGTTCCCCTCAGGGATATCACAGGAACTGATGACTGAATGCAGTGCCCGGGTATATGCTGCAAAGGAAGGTTTGCACAGTGATGAAGTCAGATTCTAAACAACTGTCCCGATCCCTTTCCCATTAGCAGTGCTTCTCCACCCAGTCTCATAGGTATTAACTTTAACTACTTATTGAATAAACATTTACTGGGTACTTACTACATGCCAAGCACTCTGTGAAGACAGAAAAGATAATGGAGAGGATGGACACAAAATAATTAAATTGCAGTCTAATACTTCCAAACCAGAGATATATATATAAAATGTTGTCACAGAATAAAGTTCGGAATGAACAAAAAATGAAGAGAGGGTGAAAAAGCTGTCCAGAAGTGGTAACATATAAGATGGTCTTGAAGGTTTATAACAGAGAAGGAAAGAAGGCATTCTACACAAACAAATGAGTGTGTGAGGTACAAACGGTACCTCACAAAAAAATGTGACACATACTGGTGTATGACAATAGCAAGTTTAATAAAACTGGAGTTTTGCCTGGAGCAAGAAAGAAATTATGCCAAATATGGCATACATTTCATATGGTAAAAACCTAGAGGTTTTTAGAATAGGGGAATGGCGTCATATTTTGAAAATATAACTCACAGGATTGATAAGAAACTCCTATCACACAGATGGGGACTAGGAATACAAATATGTGCAGTATTTCCAGTGTGTGCATGAAGCTTACACGATCTCTACACTATGTAAACCAATACATTCCAGGACGGACAGGAAACAGAAACATTAGGAAGGACCCCATTTTCCTCAGCTGGGATTCCTGATAAAGGCAGAGTTCATACTGGTCCTCACTTTTCTCAGCGTCCCCTGGCAAAACTGGCAGTCTAATGTGGGCATATATGGTAAAAAGCCTGTGTTAGCTAACATTAAAGTATTTGTATAACAGGGAATTCGACTGGACAGAGGCCTAACTTAACGGTCATAAAAGGCAAGCTCTGATGGTCTTCATTTACAGGAGAATCTGGAACCCAAGTCTTCTAACAGTGAGTGAGCTGGAAATATTCCCCTAGCATAATGAAGACAAGATGATAGTATCTCAAAGACAAATATAACTCGCTATAACTATTTCTATTGCCTCAGGGTTGTTTTGTAAAGTCTCTGATATATAGTAAGCACTCAATAAATGCTAAATTTCTATAGTCACTACTTTTTTCTTTAATTGCCACCAGGCCCCAGCCATTCCTTTAACAAACTTACCTTTGTGGTTTTTATAGAAAATACAGTTGTTGGCACAAGTAGCAGGATTAGCATCCCAAAAGTCAGGACCACAGCAGCATAGTGGAGGTAAAGTAATATTGTAGAGCTTCATTTTCTCTTGGATTTGGGCTCTTAAAGCATCTACATATCTATAAAAATTCAGTATGATCAGGCAAAGTGAACCGCTAAAAAGAGAATGAGCATGAGTCTTTATTTTACTATTAGCTTTAACCGTTAACGCTATTCCACACCTCTGTGCCTACTCTTCCTCTTTGTACTGGGAAATAGCACTGGGAAAAAGCAGTGCTAATTTCAAGAGGTATCAAGCAATCGAGAAATTTGGTGAAGTTCTATACTCCCAAAAGGATGAGCAGACACAGTCAACTCTTATAAAGAAAATGAGTCTACGGCCATGCCACCCTGAACAAGCTCGATCCCATCTGATCTCGGAAGCTAAGCAGGGTCGGGCCTGGTTAGTACTTGGAGGGGAGACCACCTAGGAAGATCAGGTGCTATAGGCGTAAAAAATAAAAAATAAGGGATTGTAAACTGACAAGATCCTTGCAATCTGTAAGGTCAACCAAGGGTTGCCTCGCCTAAAAAAAAGAAAGGAAGGAAGGGAGGAAGGGAGGGAGGGAGGGAGAGAGAACAATGACTTCCTAATAAGTCTCTTCTAGAGCCAGGATATCATGCGAAACTTTTCAAAGTACCAAAGTACCTTTGGTATTCCTTTTCTCTCTGTTGCTGTTTTTCTCTGGCTCCTTTTATTTCCTCAAGGTGTAGCTGGGCTAATATCTCACTCATCTTCTCCCCTGAAGATGGCTCTTCAGAAAAGTTCTTTCTTAACAGCTTCTGCTCTTCAGCATAACGTTGCTGCTCTTTCTTTTTCTTAATTCTGAGAATAAAATCATAACATGGTGAGGAATTTCATAAAATCATTATTCTGAATTATCTTCTAGGTCCAAATAACTCAAGAAATTCCCAGAAAAAGGGAGTCACGAAATCAGTTTAACACCCCTAGAATAGCTTCAAAAACTCCTGCCAACTGATTTGAGTTTATCCTATAGCTTATATGGCCAATGATTACTAACAAGAGTTTTTCTGTAAGAATCCAAGTATAAGAGCTTCCTTGGGTTAAAACTACAAGTAGAAAGAACTCCTGCTTTTGGCTAAAATCAGCCAACCAATCAACCAACCAACCAGACAAAATACAAAAAAAATAAAAAAAAAATAAAAAAATGGTTTTCAAGATTATGGACATCGGGCAATAAAAGACAATGATCCTTGACAGGTAGAAAATAAACGAAGTGAGCCCTATAACTGTCAAGCTCACTGCCTTGAAAATTTCCAAGCCGTGGTACAAGGCAGAGCACTTGAGGTGCAGCCTAGTGGACTCCCTGAGTCGAGGAGATGGAGCTAAAAGTCCAGGGACACAAAGGCAACTAAAGTTCATAAGACATAATACCAAAGAGGAGAGAGATGCTCAGAGAGATAACCCCAAAGATCTAGAGAAGGTCTCCTTCTAAGACACAGCAGAGTATTATGCACATATGTGAGGAAATGACCTGAGGCGAGGGACAGAACCATCCAAAAGGGTAACAAGGAACAGTGCCTTGTGTTCACGCAGAGCAGGGAATAATGCCTGTTCCACCAGTCAGACTTGAAAAACTCATAATGCACAGGGCTTGGGCAGTGTTTTCACAATGATCTTACCTCAGTAGTGAGGAATAATCATTAGTCCTAGACTGAGCACTGCTCCAGACACATCTAACAAACTGTAAAGCAAAGCCCCAAAGTAACTTAATTGCAACCCAAACCAAACCTCGGGAAAATTTATAAGAATATAAAGATATCCAGCAACCAATAAGGTAAAAAAACATAATGCTAGACATCTACAGAACTCACAGTTATTAGAATTGGCACATAAGGACATTAAAACTATAGTCTGTATGTTCATAAAGTTAAGATATAAAGAAACAAATCAAACTTCTCAAGATGAAGACTATAATTTCTGAGATGTAAAGTACACTAGAGAAGAGGCTTATATCTATTAAAATATGGAATTTCTTTAATAACCTCCTAAAACAGAAAGCACCAGGCCCAGATGGGTTCACTGGTAAATTCTACAATTAAGGAAGAAATTACACCAATTCTCTACTATCTCTTTCAGAGGAAGGAATACTTTTCAACTCATTCCATGAGGCAAGCATTACCCTATTACCGAAGCCAGATGAAAAATACTACAAGAAAAGAAAACTACAGACCGTTATTTCTTATTAACACAGAGGCAAAAATCTTCAAAAGTATTAACAAATCAAACCCAACAATGTATAAAAAAATTATATGCCACAGAATACAAGGCTGTTTCAACATGAAAAAAATCAATTAATGTAATCTATCACATCAATGGGCTACATAAGAAAAATCATATGATCCTATAGACACAGGTAAAGCATCTGACAAAATCCAACACCGTTTATGATTAAAAAAAACAAAAAACAAAAAAACCCTCAGTAAACTAGGAATAGAGGGGAACTTCCTATACTTGATAAAGAATAGCTACAAAAAACCTATAGCTAATAACATACTCAAAAGTAAGAAACAAGACATTTTCCCACTAAGGCCAGAAACAAGGCAAGGATTTCCCTTCTCATATTCCCTTTCAACATGATACTGGAAGTCCTAGCTAATGCAATAAGACAAGAAAGGAAATAAGACTTAAGGAATGAGAAGGAAGTACCAAAACTGTCCTTGTTCACAGATGCCCTAATTGTCTATGTTCTTCCAAACCTGATCTATAGATTCAATGCAATCCCAATAAAAATCCTAGCAAGTTACTTTATAAATACTGACAAACTGGTTCTAAAGTTTATGCAGATAGGCAAAAGTCCCAAACTCAACACAATATTGAAGGAGAGGAACAAGGTTGGAAGACAGACACTACTCGACTTCAAATAAGTATATGAAAAGACGCTCCACATCATATATCATCAGGGAAATGCAAATTAAAATGAGATACCACTGCACATCTATTAGGACGGCCAAAATTTAGAACACTGACAATACCAAATGCTGACGAGGATGTGGAGCAATAGGTACTCTCATTCATTGCTGGTAGAAACGCAGAATGGCACAGCCACTTTACTAATTGTTCTCTTACCATATGATCCAACAATCATGCTACTTGGTATTTACTCGAAGTAGGTGAAAACATATCCACACAAAACTTGCACATTGATTTTTATAGAAGCTTTATTCATAATTGCCAAACCTTGGAAGCAACCATGATGTCCTTCAGTAGATGAATGGATAAAATGTAGTATATCCAGCCAATGGAATATTATTTAGTGCTAATAAATAATGAGCTATCAACCCATAAAAAAGACTGGAGAAATTAAGTGGATATCACTAAGCGAAAGAAGCCAATCTGAGGTTTCATACTGTATGATTCCAACTATACGACATTCTGAAAATGGCAAAACAATGGAAATAGTGAAAAGACCAATGGTTGCCAGAAGTTGAGAGATGGCAAAGGAAAGAGGGATGAGTAGGCAGAGCACAAAGAATTTTTAGGGCAGTAAAACTATTCTGTATGATACTATGACGATGGATACATGTCATTATACATTTGTTCAAACCCAAAAATATACAACACCAAGAGTGAGCCCTAATATAAACTCTGGGTAATAATGATGTTTCAGTGTAGGTTCATCATTGTAACAAATGTACCACACTAGGGGGAGATGCTGATAATGCAGTAGGCTCTTAATGTCAGGGGGGCAGGGAGTATATGGGAAATTACTGTACCCTCCTCTCTATTTTGCTGTGAACCTAAAACTGTTCAATAAAAATAAAGTCTTTATAAAAAAATACAATGGATGGGATTATCAGCAAATTAAATGTTGAGAATAAATCTAGAAGCACAACAGAAATTATCAAAATAAACCACAGAAAAAAAATAATCCAAAAAAATAAAAAGCATAAAAAAAGAAAATAATCCAATTACAAAATGGGAAAAGGACTTGAATAGACATTTCTCCAAATGATCTATTAATGGCTAACAAGCATATGAAAAGATGCTCAACATCACTAATCATTAAAAAATGCAAACCAAAACCTCAATGATCTATCACCTCACACACATTAGAATGGCCGCTATCAAAAAACAAAACAAACAAGTGTTGGCAAGGATATGAGAAATTGGAAAGAACTCTTGTGCATTGTTGATGGGATTGTAAAATGATGCCATTGCTTTGGAAAACAATATGGATATTCCTCAAAAATTAAAAATAGAACTACCATATGATCTAGCAATTCTACTTCTGGGACTATGTCCAAAAGAACTGAAAGCAGGGTTTGGAAGAGGTATTTGCACACCCATGTTCATGGCAGCACTATTCACAATAGCCAAGAGACAGAAACGACCCAAATGTCCATCTGCAGATGAATGGATAAACAAAATGTGGTGTGTGTGTGTGTGTGTGTGTGTGTGTGTGTGTGTGTGTGTGTATACAATCGAATATTAATATTTTCAGCTTTAAAAAGGAAAGAAATCCTGTCACATGCTATGTATAATATGGATGTTCTACTAAGTGAAGTAAGTCACAAAAAGAGAAATACTGTATGATTGCATGTATATGAGGGTGTACAGTAGTCAAATTCATAGAAACAGATATTAAAAGAATAAGAGAATACTAAGAACAATTTTATGCCAATAAATTTGACAACTTAGATGAAATGACAAATTTGTTGAAAGACACAAACTACTAAAGCTTAATCAAGAAAAAAATAGATAACCTGAATAGCCCTGTCTATTATCAACATGGAAAATTAAGAATCTTTCCATAATGAAAAGTCTAGAACCATGTGGATTCACTGGTAAATTCTACCAAACATTTAAAGAAGAAATAATACCAATTCTACATAAACTCTTTCAAAAAAATTATAGAGACTACTTCCTTACTCATTCTATGAGGCCAGCATCACTCAGAAGCCAAAATCAGTCAAAGATATTACAAGAGAAGTACAATCCAGTATCTCTTAAAACACAAGAGTTAAATCCTAAACAAAATTTTTAGCAAATCTAATCAAAGAATATATTAAAAGGATAATACACTATTACAAAGTGTATTATCCCAGGAACACAGGGTTGGTTTAACATTCAAAAATCAAACAATGTTATTTATCATATGTAATATTGTGATTTATAATAAGAAATATATATATTTGATCTTCGTCCCCATTTCTGGCACAGAGCTCCTAAAACACTTAAAATTTCCTAAGTGATGAGAGTGACAAAGTTGTCTTTTGTTATGTTAATGAGTTGACTTTTGGACTGCACCTAAGGGTGGGAGATGGTTGCCAGTGGAGCCACCAAGTGATTAGAAGGTAAGAACTTTCAGTCCTACCCCCTGACCTCTGGGGAGAGGAGTGGGGCTGAAGATTGAATCAATCACCAATGGCCAATGAGTTAATCAATCATGACTTATGGAGGATCAATAATGATCCTCCATAAAAATTCAAAGAGCATCTGGGTTGGTGAACATGTGGAGATGAGGGAGAGTGGTGTGCCTGAGGAGGGCATGAAAGCTCCACGCCTCTCCCCACATTCTTGCCCTTTGTATCTGTTCCATCTGCCTGTTCCTGAGTTACATCCTCCTTTTTTACAATAAACCGGTGATCTAGTAAGTAACATGTTTCTCTGAGTTCTGTGAGCCTCTCTAGCAAGGAGAACAGGGTGTAGGAAGTATAGATAAAAACCTGGCACCTGAATTGAGTCGCCAAGAAGTAGGTCATTGAAACCAAACCTCCAGTCTGTAGCTGGTTGGTCAAAAGCAAAGGTAACAAAACAGCCTGGGCTTGTGACTGGTATCTGAAGGGGTGGCGGGGGCGGTG